CATACCCCTACCCACCCTCCAACCCCTTCTCCGATTGCATTTCTGGATCCTGAGGCTGTTGGGGTTCAGCTTGGGGGAGTTGGGGGAGACTTGGGGTGGCTGGAGCAATGGGAGGGAGTCCCTCTCCAAGAAGCACTGAAGTTCAATCTCACCAGTCCATATTAGGTCAATTTTGGGCTTCCCTCACACCCACCTGGGACCTTGTCCACACCCCTGGCATTGAAGGCAAAGGTTCTGAGACTTCTGTCCTCAGCCCCCATCTTCCCCCAGAAAGCTAAATGCTACATTCAACTGCTTACTCGGCAGATTCACCCAACTAAGAGCACCTCAAACTCACTTGCCCAGAGCTGATGGCAGCGAGTTTGGCTTTTGTAGCCTAGAGGGTGGTGTTAGTCATTATCTGGGGGCAAATCTGTCTCCCCCATTGAGGGGGCACCAGCTTGGTGGGCATAAGGTACATGGCTCTGGCAGGGGCATGGTATGCCCCACAAGGACTCAACTCTCTGCCATCAAGTCCTTTTGGATCATAGAGACTCTATAGGGCAGGGTAGAACTGCCCCTGTAGATTTTAAGGACTGTAAATCTTTACAGGAGTAGAAAGCCTCATTTTTCACCCTTGGAACAGCTCCTGGTTTCAAGCTGTTGACCTTGAGTAACCCTGGACACCACTAGGGCTCTTCTCTACGAGGGCAGGCCAGGAGATCACTCAGTCACCCCTGCGTCCCTAGCCCCTGCTAGCACAGGGCAGGTTCTCAGGGAGGATCGCTTTAGAACAAACAATAACTCCAGAGTCAAGGCCAAGGGTAAGGTACCTTCATACCTCAACTACCCAGGACATGACCTTGGACAATGACCCCACCCCTCTGAGTCTTTCCTCTCTAGAAAGATGAATAGTACCCACCTCACAGCAGAGAACTCTCAATCCAACACCCAACAGAGAGCGCAGTATCACCAGTCACTGCACTAAGCACTTTACCCAGATTAACAGGTGGATTCCACACAACCCTTTGAGGTGGGGGCTATTTTTATCCTCATCTTTAAAATCCCGTTACCATGGGAAAGGGAGAGCAATGGAGGGGAGGGGGGACTGGGAGCCCCAGAAGGAGGTGGGATGAATTGAAGCTGCATTGTGGGGGATGGTCATCAATGACCATAAACAAAATGTGAATGAAAGACTGAATGCAAAACCTGTCTGCTCAGTAAACCTTCACTTGATTGCCAATGAAAAGCTCACACAAGTCCACACCCCAGACAAGCCCCCTAAACCATCTTATTGATTCCAACTCCTAGGACCTCGCAGAACAGGGTAGACCAGCGCCCTGTGGGTTTCCGAACCTCTAAGTCCTTTATTTTTCAGTTAGCAGATGAGTGCTGAACCCCTGCGCCAACAGGGTGCTTTATCCCCCACTTGACAGATGCAAAAACTGTGGTGCGATCACTTAATTGGAA